TTGTGTCTCTGAAGCACAGTTCACCTTTCCATTCCCATGATGTGTTATGTTTCATCAGGTTAAGTGTTAGCCATGAGACTGTGTTGTGTGCATATGATGCTTCTCTGTGAGTCACTTGTCCTCACCATAATGATTGCATGGCTCTCAAGACTCTGAATTGTACCTCTAATGTCCTTGCAACATTTCAAAAGAAGCTGCATTGAACCCTGCACAGTGGTTAGCCTCCAGCCCTCTGCTAGGGTGAATGATCACTCATTCACTCATCTGTCCAGTCAGTCCTCACCTGTGAGCAGACACCAGGCTGGTGCTGAAATACAGCCTGAGAAGCTTCCAGGCCATTGTAGAAGACCAAGATACGTGCAGCCAAAGTTTACAGCGGTCAGTACTATGGCCAAGAGAAGCAGAGTGGTGTGGGGAAGCAGGAGGGATTCCTCCCAACACAGGGGATCCAGAAAAGGTGTCTAGGTCCAGAAAAGTTCCTGCGTTGCCCTCAAAGAATGGGAAGGTACAGGTGTTGTAGAAAAAGTGGAAAGGATATACCTTGCCCCAGGTCAGTGGAATGTTACAATGTGGTGTCAGGTATGATGGAGGTAGTTAAGGTTCAGAAGAGGGGTGCCCGGAGGAGAGTTGGCCAGTGTGGCTTTGTGTGTCCAATCTGAGCTATTTGCCTGAAGACAGTGAGCATCCATTGAAGGACAGAAGATAGGGGGGATGTGTCTGGATTACATGTTAGGAAGCTTACTCTGGCTGCTGTGCAGGTCTGCATTCTGCGGGTTTAGTGGCAGGCGACACTTCTTGTGAGATTAACCATAACCAACTGTCACTAACAAAGAAATCAACCAATCAGAAACCATTTCTCAGGGTGACACTGGAGCTAACCCTACACCACTAAGAGCAGAGACCTCTGTTCTTTAGGAAGGAGGCAGTGGGGTTACAGGTTATCAAAGAGATTGAGAAAAGGCCCAATTCCTACGTATTTATCCAATAATCACTAGAACCAAGGAAAAGCAGGGACACACACACACACACACACACACACAGCGTCTATCCACTTATATTTTTCCCTTTCCCTTCAAAGCTGCCCTTGGGCTCATTTCAACTGGAATTTCCCCAGAAGCAATGATCAGTTCAGGTTGGTGAGGCAGGCTCAGATCTTGGGGTTACAGATCTTGGGTTACCTGCTCATAGTGTCACTTTGTTTTCCCCAAGTCTCTAGCACTCTGCAGAAGGGAATGCCTTCCCCAACCTTACAAGGTAGCAGTGGGGTTTGAGATGACACTGATAAATGCCTGTTGCGAAGCAGGTGCCCAGTCAATATGAGCCGTGAGAGCCTCAAGACTCTCTGTAGACTGGTCCCTTTCCCTTGACAACCCTAAAATGGCAGCACACGACAGAAGGGTGGAGTTCAGAGCCCCAGAAAAGATTTATGACAGCTTCTTCTGTAATGCTCCAAACTGGGAACAGCTCATCAAAAGGAAAATATTTTTGTCTCTAAGGAATACTAGGCAGCTATTTAAAAGAATAGTTCAATTTCTTTCTACAAGGAAAACTAGAGGGAATATCCATGAAAATTCTTCATTACCAAGAACAATGTGCAGTGTTACAGGTATTTTGATACCATGTGCATAAAGCTAAAAGGAAAAATAAATAAATCTATTTGAAAGCTAGTATCCATGGACTCAATGAAGGATTGGAAACACTAGGAGAAGATTGTCCTGAGCATGTACATACATTTTCCTTGTCATTCGCTCAGCAACATAATATAATAATAGTTTCCATGGTTGCAGGTACTGCAAACTATCTAGGGATGACAAAGTCAACAAGAAGATGTGCCTAGGTTTAATGCATTTGCCGTATCGTTTTTATGAGTCTTGCTCATCTCTGAATTTTAATAGCTTCCCAAGGTCCTGAAACCAATCCTGTGGGGATACCACGGTTCTGTGGGATCATGTAAGCAGGACATGAGAAAGAGCACACCCCAGAAGGCCAACACCACTCATGTCAGCAGGTTGCAGCCACAAGGTTGTTAAGCTTTGTCACACCCTCTATACTGCATCAAGTGATATGTCAAAACAAAACAAGCCAGTGTCAGTGGCCCATGCCTATAATCCTAGCTACTTAGGAAGCTGAGATTTCAGGATCATCATTCAAAGCCAACCCAGACAGTGAGACTCTTATTTCCAATTAATGACCAAAAAGCCAGATGTGGAGGTGTGACTCAAGTAGTAGAGTGCTGGCCTTGAGCAAACAAAACCAAGGGACAGTGCCCAGGCCCTGAGTACAAGCCCTAATACTGTCACCAAAAATTAATAAAGTCTAGACATGAATTCCAGATTGACATGGTAGAACCTAATAAGATAGTCTGTTCTCCAAGCCTTGTTCTTGGTTTAAAAAAGGGTAAATGATAATACCTCTCTTCTTAGAGCTTTGAAACTTAAACACATGAATTCATTAATGTCATAAATGTCAATTGAGACCCTTATATAAATCAAGTGTTCATGCAACAGTGAACAGGGTTCAGTTGGTGACAAATTACACAGATGTCTATTTGCTGGTGGTATTTTTTGTCTTGTGGCAGAAATGAGGATGGGGAAGATTCACATTGATGTCTTTTCCATATAACCTCTCGGGGAGACCTTTGGTGGTATAGACATGGCCTGACCCAGGCCATGGCTCTTCTCTGAGACATGTGTATCAGCCACCACCTGCCTGACTTGTGTTTCAGATTCACTGCCCAAGAAGAGAAATGGAGGAAAGTTCTTCATGGTTCTGGTGATCATCTACCTGATTGTGCTGTCAGTGGGTGCTGTGCTGTTGCTGATCCTAGGTAAAGGAATCTGGGACCTATGTGGTTTTCCTGGGGAGTCAAACTGGCCCCTCAGATGTAGCACTCAAGTTGAGCAGAAGGTCTTGAGAACACTGCTGCCCTGCTTATGGAAGAGTGCTGAGTTCCATCATAGTAATGGAGGGAAAAAAAGGATGTGTGTGGGTGCGTGCGTGCATGTGTGTGGAGGGGCATGTATGTATGTAAAGGAGTGAAAGATGCAATGATTTCACGTGAGGTTTGCCACTCACACTTGATGCAAAGAATTCTCAGCCTTTGGATGGTTAAGGACTTTATTGATTGAAGTGACCATGTGAATGTGATTTACTAAAAACAGTTCCCAGTTCATCTGTCAGTTACCAAGGTATTCCATCAGCAGACACTGGTGTCACCCAAGAACACTGTTTGCCTTGTTGTCATGAACAACAGGAAAACAAAGTCACATCTAAATATATCTTCAGATGAGACTGTTGTCCTGTTCACTCCTAGCGAATACGAAGGTCTATTTGAAGAGGATATTGATGGCAGATGCCTTGGGCACATCTGAAGGCCTGGCAGGAATCTTTTATGGCTGTGTCGTGTTGTGCCTGAGTGTGGAGGTGGTGTAGGAAAAGCTTGAAAACAGAGCTCGTATTTATGAATTCAGGGCCTACAGAAGTCATGCATGTGTGACACTAGCATGTTAGGGATCTACCTCAAACCTTAATGAGGTCCCTAAAGGGGCGTTGTGGGGTGGGGTCCAGGTCTGAACCTGCAGGAGCGGATCCGGATCTTAGAGATGGACTTCCCCAATGGAACATGGATGACAGAGCAACACCCATCCTTCTCAATGCAGTCAGGGTACCCCAGAACACATCTGGCAACAGGGCCATCGGGGCTGCCCACCATGCCAGCCCAGATCACCTGGCTTCGCACCAACCAGGAGCACCTGCTTCAGTGGGTGGCCAACGTCTCTCGCAACCCAGGTCTGGTCTCCTCTCTCTGGGGTTTGGGATTCCTCAGAGATGCCCTGAGGAAAGAGGGGTTTACTCATCTGGTTAGGATTCATTTGAACTTCCAGGACCTAGGCCTTGGGAATCAGGCAGAGATGAGAGCCACGTGAGGTGGGCTTGATTTTGAAGATCCCAGAAGAGGCTACAGACAGGATTCTGGGAAACAGTAGAGTCAAGAACTGAGGAACCCATGGCCCTATCCAAACTAAGCCATTCTCCACAAGCTAGGGCTGGAGCAACCAGCCCAAGGCCCGGTCTGAGTCACACAGACCCCAGACTGATCCAGTACATTTAGGAGGGTGGATAGGATGCAAAGCTGGGTGGTTCCTAGGAACAAGTCCAGTATGGGCAAGGAGAGCAACTGAGGGCCCAGTGCCAGCACACGATGTGGGGTCTTTGGGGAGAGACGATAACCCAGACTGTTGAGGAAAATATGTCAGCCCAGGTGGTGAGGTGGCAGGCAAGAGAAAATGGAGGAGATTCTCCCCCCGCCCACACCAGTCCACTCAGGGCCTTACATTGCCGTCTGTCTTCTCTCAGCTGCCCCAGAATGGGAAGGGCTTTTCCCTTGGCTGAGGAGTGCCCAACCTGCTCATAGGCACAATCAGACTGCAGTAGGGTTATGACACGAATGGGAGCTTTAGCCCTGTGTCTGAGCAAGCTGGGGGCTTGAGAGAGTGAGCCCATGACTAAATCTAGGACACAGGGTTCTGGATGGCAAATGTTCCCAGAGCCTGCAGCCTTTCAGGGAGCAATGATGAAGGCTGAGCTGGGATGTGAGCTCTGGCTACAGCTGTGGGCAGATGGACGGAGCCTGGCTCAAGCACCACCTGTGTCTCTCCTGTCCTAGAGGGGTGAGGATCTGTTTTGACCAACAGGCAGATTCTATTCCTTCTGTAATTCCTGGAGTCTCTTCCAGTTGGTGGAGGACAATGCCATAGGTACACAGAACATCTGAACTTCGGGCCTGGGGAACTTCCATTCCTGGGAGCAGACTGTTAGTCATATGTGAACATCTGGTTTCTTTAAGGGTTGTCTCCTAACACACTCAGTGTTTGGCTCCTGTGGTCCAAAGCCTCCTAGCCTGGCCAAAGCTTCTTCTCTTCATATGGGAAGGGGTGCTCAGATTTTGAATGCAGAGCCCAGGAGCTGTCTGAGGATGCAAGGGTCCCACAGTTGAGCCTGCAACTCTCTTCTTGCCTCAACAGAGCTATTCCGGATCAAAGGTGAACCAGGCTCTCCAGGTAGGTCAAGTTTCTCTCTGATCCATTCTATTCCTTCCCCAAATCCTCCTTCCAGGGCTTTGTGGGCTGTGCCATTCTGAGACCCTGGTTAGCCAGGCTCCAGATCACTTTCAGTGGTCTCCTGGGTTAGATCACCCTTTGGCCTTTTAACCACACTTTGATTCCAAGTGCTAGGCCTCTGCCGTCCTTCCTGCCTGAAATGTCTCCCTTCTTCCTCTACCTATCTAAACTTCTATTCCCAGGCCACTACAAGTGCACCATTCCTCTCCCACTGTTCTAGATGTCCCAGCTCTCAGGAAAGAACCTTTTTCCTTATCTCCCACGATTTCAGTGCTAATTGTGGGTGCTGCTCTCTCTTCCCAGGGTGCATGGCTCATCTCTCCCAGATGGTGGTAACGATGGGAAAGTGTGTGTATGTACACAGGTGTATATATGTGTATATGTGAGAGAGAGAAAGAGATTGTAAACAAATAGATTGCATTGTCAGGCTGATCTGAGATCTAAGCTCAGGCTTGATTCTTACTAGCTATGTGACTTTGGGACAGTAGTTTAACTTCTCTGAACTTCAGTCACCCACTTGGTTGTGTAGAAAATAATGGTGATTGCTAGGCTCACATCACAGGATGGGGAAAAAATGATGTGCCCAAGCTCCTCACAACTGCTCTCTAGCAAAGGTCTGCCGCCTGTTTGCCATCTTCCTCCCTCAGCCCACAGGTGTGCTGGGTCACACACAGGCACACACATGTGCATGTGCACTTCCCTCAGACCCCTGTTAAAACTTCACCACAAGAATAAAATATTCCTGACACTCTTGGGACAGAACCCTTTGGTCCCTTGATGTTCTATATGTTCATGGCCTGGGCAGCCCTTGTGGCCTGGCAGGACTCTGAGTCTGCTTTGTACAGGATGGGAGCAAGGACTTGATGACTGGCCCTCCAGGGACAAACCGTGGCTCTGTCTCTCATAAGCTAGGTGACCTTGAACAAGTTGCTTAAAGTCTCTGCGCTGTATATCCTGCCATGTGACATGAGGTAATGCTGGGATGAGGATTGGTTCCCACTAAATATAATAGGCTTAACCCTGGACCTATCACAGAGCCAGCACTCAGTAGGGCTGTTATGATTATTTACTGTTGCTATTGTGATCCTGTTGTTACTGGAATAATTAAGTAGCATTAGCTCCTCTCCCATAAGGAGGGGCTGTTCCAGCAGCTTCTGTTGCCAAAATCAATGTCTCCTCTCAACTCAATGGGTTTAGTTTCATCTTAAATTTCTACCCCATCACCTGCCCAAGGCTCAGTGCTCCAATCCAGACCCAGACCTGGTCTTTGGGGTGCTGAGCAGGACTACGCATGGTATTTATCTCTCTGTGAATACTAGCCTTTCTGTAGTCCTCAGAGACTGGCTCCAGGACCCCCATGAATGCAGAAATAGACAAATGCTCTTCCTTGTATAAGATGGCATGCCATTTGCATAAAAATCATATACATCCTCTGGTATATTTTAAGTCACCCCTAGATGACTTATAATATCTAAGACAATGTAAATGCTCTGTAAATTGTTATTGCACTGTGTTGTTTAGGAAATAGTGACAAGAAACGAGACTGTACATATTCAATACTCAGGCACTTTTTCTGAGCATTTATAAGCCAAGGTTGCCTCAAATCAGAGTTTGCTGAAGCACAGGCTCAGCTCTGTATATAGAATCTCTATCTCTGCCTCCTTGTCTCAGTCTCTAACTTCTCCTGCCTCAGTTTCTCTCTTCTTGTTCTCTTTTTCCCAGAAACTAGAGCCAGGAGCACAAGAGATGCAAGGGGTTGGGGCGGAGGGGTGGGGAGCTTGGGCTGTGGAAGTCTGGGCTCCTCCCCAGGGGTCACTTGCCTTTCTGGAGCCGCACCCCGCCCTGCCCCATCTGGGGAGGCTATGTCTCTCTCTCTCCATTCCTCATGGCTTGCCCAGCCTAGTCAGAGCTCCTCAAAGGCTCTGTGGCTATGCTTCCCGGAGACACACAGGAGGGCATGAGAGGAGGGCTGAGTGTGGAACTCTCCAGTCCTGGTTTGCCTTGGACAGGGGCAACTGTGGGAAGAACTTTCACCCAGACACAGGCAGGGGTGAGCAGGAACTGGACACCACCCCAGCCAAGCTGCAGAGAGGAGAATTGTGGAACATACTTGTCTTGTCTGTCCTGGACTTCCTTGAACCCTACAAAAACAAAACAAACCAAAGCAAACAACAATAAAACCCCATGTACTGAATGAAGGCTCTGTGAGGAGGTTCCCCACCCTCAGCACTGGAAATACAGACTTGAAAACCAACAAGTCCCTGGCCCTCTGATCTTCCTGTTTAAGGCAGGGCAGGATGTGGTTACAACCCTGGTGACTGCAGTACAGCCAGAGCCCTCTGTGAGACGGTGTAGAAGAGTCTCATCCCCAGGCCAGGAAAGGCTCCTGGAGGAAGTGCCGAAAGCCTGAGAGCAAGGGAGCAGAAATGGATGTAAGGCCAAGCTGGATAGGACTAGACAGGCCTAGGGTGGGGTATAGAGGGTGGAGACCCCCTAGAAAGTCTCAGACACTCTTCCTCTATGCTTGGCTGACTGACATCATGGAGCTATTGTTCCCATTTCACAGATGTGGAACTGAGGCTCAGAGAACAGTGTCTTGCTTGAGATGATGCAGTCCCATGTGAAGGAGTAGTGTCAGAAAACCAGGCAGGAGCAGCTACAACCTCAGTTGCCTAAGAGGAAACAAGGAGAGCCTCATCTCATCAACAGGCAGGACCTTAGGAGTCATTCTGGAAGGTCCTCTGGGGCCTGGGCCCAGACAGTCAAGAAATGAGCACTGCAATGGCAGGAGCAGGAATCTCCAGCCTCTGCCCAGTAGGAAGGCCAGCCCTGCAGGCATGGACCATCCCCTGGCCCTGGAAGTCTTTAGGTCTGGCCTTGTGATCTTGGCTAATAAGTACATCAGGTGCCCTACTTCCAGCATGTCCATCATTTCCATGGTCCCCTCTCCTCCTGAAGAGGACCTGCATTACAGATGAGGAAGCTGCTGGGCCAGAAAAGACTCTGGTCCAGGTCTTCCAGCTGGCTAGCTGGAGCGTGTTGTCAACTCCATGATTTTTCCAGAAGGCTACCAGCAGGGCCCTGTACAGAAATGTGGGGTTATACTCTCCAGTTCTTTTCCTGGAACAATATTGGATCTCACAAACTACACAGAGATGCTGCTCTGAGCTAGGAAACACACAGAGGGCCTCATCACTGACTGCTTTGCCAGGACTCAGATTTTGTTACTAAGAGATTCCAAATCCTGCCCAACTCCCAGTGTGTGGCCTCAGCACATCTCAAGCCTCTCAGAACATTGCTGCCCACCCCCTGGGTGATCTGGAACCTGTAGCATGGTGCACCCACACCTACCCAGAATGATGTGACACTTGGGAAAGTTCCATTTGCACAAGAGGTCTTGGAGAGGGTAGGGAAGCTCCTGACTTGCAGGTCCCATTGATCCAGAGCTCTTGGCACATGTTTCTAATGGAAGGTCTCCATGGTGGGCTTGAAGGGCAGCCCTGCCTAGTTGGCAGATACCCCAGCTTACTGATGTGGAAGCTGAGGCTCAAGATCACCTCCCTAACATACAGTGTTAGTATTGGAACCCGGGTTTCTGATTCAGACTTCCTCAGAAGACATCATCTTTCTGATACGTTTTCTTTTCTTGCCTTCTCTGTGTGTGTGTGTGTGTGTGTGTGTGTGTGTGTGTGTGTGTGTGTGTGTGTGTGTGTGTGTGTGTGTGTGTGTGTGTGTGTGTGTGTGTGTGTGTGTGTGCGCCAGTCCTGGGCCTTGAACTCAGAGCCTCAAATTATCTTTTGGTTTTTTCACTCAAGGCTGGTGCTCTATGACTTGAGTCATACTTCTACTTCTGGCTTTTGCTGGTTAATTGGAGCTAAAAGTCTCACTGATTTCTCTGCCAGGGCTGGTTTTGAACTTCAATTCTGAAATCTCAGCCTCTTGAGTCGCTAAAATTACAGGTAGGAGCCACAGGCTCCCAACTGGCTTGGTGCTTCTTACAGGAAGGAGTTTTGTCTTCTTTTCTTCTGTTCTTTCCACTCAGGTTAGCTTGTGCTCAGTGCTCAGGGTGTCTGTTGAGTGAATTATTGCATGAGTAGTGTGATCACCTCACCTTACCTTATTGGTTGGCAGATGGGTATCATGCTCCTCTTCCCTATATCTTCCAGGTCCAAGGGGGGCCCCAGGTATTCCTGGCATCCTTGGCCTTCTTGGGCAACCTGCAGAGAAGGGAGCCAAGGGAAATGCGAGACGTGATGGAACCCCAGATATGGTCTCTGTCTCCTGGCCATGTAGTCTTTTATCTGTTCCCTCCACACAGTGATCTGAATTACCTCTCCCTCTCAACACAGGTCTTCCAGGACCCCAGGGCCCACCAGGCATCAAGGGAGAGGCAGGTGAGTAGATACTGGCTGGGCCTGGGGACATGAAGCAAGCTTTCTTATTGACAGCCACAGGCTGTGGACATGGACTCACACCACAGTCTGAATGAGATGGGGCTGAATGAGAGCAGGTGGCTGGCATGAAGCCTGGGTGAGTTGTGAAGTAAAGGGGAAACCCACAGCTCAGGTGCCAGGGCTGGGCTGCAGTATGAAGGTGGTACCGACAAAGGCACCTGGCCAGACCAGGTTGGAGGGCTGTGGGCGCTCCAGTCTTGTCCTCTGTGCCCGGAAGGCCAAGGCTGCAAGCAATTTGTCAGTTGCCATGGAAAGTCAGGCTCCCTAGTCCAGCAGGGACTCAAGAATCCCACATATCTGCTCTGTGATCTGGGCAGCCATACCTGACTTCCAGATTATGACTCAAAGCCAGTGATGATTCATTGCTACAAGTGTACTAGGTTCCATTTATCAGGCATAGCCTGGGAATGCTCACTCATCATACGCATGGCCAGCCATGGTTTGGTCAAGAAAACCCAAACCTGAGAGCAGTAGTCACAGTCCGCTGTGTTCTCCAGAGCTCACACCAAGTTCCCCAGAGCTGAGCCTCAGAAAAAGACAGTCAGGAAGACATCCTTAACAGGAGCAGAGGCCGTGGATTATAAGGAAAGGAGGCAAACAAATCACTACATTAAGCCTCCAGGCTGAGGAGGCAGAAGGGAAATACCGGGGAAACTAGTTAGTGGCAAAATTGACTTCCAGGAATGGACTTTTGGAAGGAATTTAATACATGGAATCCAAAGAACATCTAGCAGGGGCTTTCCTGGGGAAAGGGAAACAAGAAACAACAGGAAAAAGGAAAGAAAAGTTGTGGTGAAGCACACGCACAGCTATCTACACACACACACACACACACACACACACACACACACACACACACACACACACACACACGCACCCCACTTGAAAAACCATGTGGCTTCATACACTCACACAGTCGCTTGCACAAATACATTCACACACATGATCACATGTTCATTTCACACATACTTGCAGAGCTATATGCTTGCATTTTTATACTCACAACATACACACTCATATATTCATGCATATGTGCACAATCCTTGTAGATGCTTGCATTCTCTCACACACTCCCCCCCACCACATGCACTGCACACATACTCAGCCTGTGGGAACTAGAAGGCTGCTCTACAATTTCCTCCTAGAGAGAAAGGGACCAGGGCTTCCAGAGCAATCCAGGCTGCAGCCAAGGAGGTCAACTGAAAAGATGGTCCAGTTATTAAAGGAGACCCAGCCTAGAGTGTCTCTTGCTCCTCAGGGGACCAAGACAGGCAGTGGTGGCTGCAGTGGAGCCATGGGAGAGTGAGCCCTGAGCTCCCCTGAGCTCATCAGGAAAAGCTGGAAAAACTCAGCCCCTCTAAAAGGACCTTCCCCAATGCTTCCTTCACCCATGCCTTGTCTCCTTTGTCACTCTCCCTCCTGGATGCCTCAATTTCCCTTCACACATTCAGTGCCCGGCTCTCCACGGAGCTCTCATCCTCTCCCATCCAGACAACAGCAGCTCCAGACCATGCTTGGTATGCTAGCCTGGCACTTCTCAGCCACCCTGGAGGGAACTAGTGTTTCTCAATTCCACTTTCATCCTGGTCACTGGAGTACTACTACATCCCTGCAAAGAACCTGTCCTCACAGCCCCATCTCACAGATGAGAGAATCGAGATGTAGGAGACTTTCCAAAGTCATCCCATCTGCAGGTGGCAGACCTGTGGATTCAAACCTGCTTGCCTTGTTCTGAAGCCTTTCCTCTTCGGCCATGTTCGAGATGTGTTCCTACGAGTTTGCTGGAGTGCAAACTGCCTGGAACCACCAGGGACACGGCTATATGTGCTCATTCATGCATTTGTGCGTGCATGCAAGCATGTACACAATGATGTGTGTGAACACATGCCTGGACGTGTGCATGCATGGGTGTGGGGCTTTCATCTCAGGGAGAAGCCCAAACCACAGTGACACTTCCTTCCTTCTCCATAGGCCCCCAAGGACCCATGGGTGCACCAGGGAAGCAAGGAGCTGCAGGTAACTCTTGCACCTCTGCTGAGGACCACGAGACAAGGTCTGAGTGTTCTCTCCATTCCCCCCAACCCCCTCCACCACCAGGCCCTCGCTCTTCCCACTGTCTTCTTCTGAATCTTCAGCTACCTCATCATCACCATGGAGGAGATGTACCAATACATCCCCTGAGGGGCCCCTCCCTCCCCTCCAACCTCCCCTCTCCCAGGGGGGATGGTTACAGCTCACCTCAACCACTTTCTCTTTTCAGGCACCCAGGGACTCCAAGGCGAGAAGGGCAGCAAAGGCGACAGGGGTCTCGTGGGCTCCAAGGGGGAAGCTGGAGCTCAGGGAGTCAAAGGTGACATGGGACTCCCAGGTGAGTGTGCTCATCAGAACTGTCCTAATACATGTGGAGGCTGGAAGGGCTGGCACCTGGCCCCAGGCCTAGACTCCACCTATAGACACCTCAGGGAAGCAAGCATGTCTCCATCCTTCCTGGTGAGGAGGTAGAACTGTAGTATGAGGGAGAATAGCTCTACTCTGGCACACCCCATGACCAGCAGGAGACTCGGGCTCTGCTCAGACCTCAGAGAGAAAGAGGAGAAAAGGGCAAGGAGTCTCATTCTAGTAGGGGACCAGGCAGCCAGAGGCCCTCCTCCACCACAGATGCTGTCTGAAACCAGGGCTCTAGGACTGTGTGCCGTGTCTAAGAAGTACTGGAGTGTTTGCTTGAGGTGCAAGTTGGGCCCACAAGTCTGTTCTGAATGCCCAGATGATTCTGATCTTGAAGGTCTGGCACATTCCTTCACCCTTCCAAGCTTTAAGTTCTTCAACTCAATTCCAGGAATAGCTATTAAATGATATATACCTTGCAGGACAGTTGTAAGGACTAGAGATGTTTCAAACTGTCTGCCGCATGGTAAATAAATGAAAACTTTTATAGGTAATAGATGTAGCGATTCTTTAAGATAGCAAAGCAAAAGACTTCAGACCTAAGGTCAGACAGATCTGGGTCTAATAAGGCTCACTAGCTAGGTGAACTTGGGCAAATAACTTAACCTTGCTGAGCCTAAAGTTGCTCATCTATACTGGGGAGTAACTGCATGGAATATATGGTGTGTTGATGGTGTAACACCATACTGAAAAGAGTCATTGTTAACCATTTTCACACTCCTGGTAAGAAACCAGGAATGCTGGCCTTCTGGATCAGAGACCTTGAATGTTTGAAAGACATTTGGGAGAGAGAAATGATTTGCTCTAGATCATGCATAAGGACTAGTGAGCTAGTTTAAGAAGGGCCAAATTGCAGTGAGGCAAGGAAACAAGAATGACTTAGCACTCAGGCAAGCCCCATTCTCAGTGGGCAGATGGAGGGGTCCCAGAATCCTCCTTAGCAGGGCTGAAGTGGGATCCTCCTATCAGGCAGGCTGCTTTGAATCCACCAAAGCTGGCTTTCTGCCGCTCTTGCAGTAGATAGAAAGGGGGACCCCACTTTCTCAAGGTGACCCCAGCAGCATCACAGGAGGAGCCAATACTTGGCCTTCCAGCCTCTCTTCTTCCCGTCCAGACTCAGGCCTGGAAGCACAGTGGGCCGGGAGAGAGGAGGAAACAGCTCTTCCTGGAGTCAGAAAGCAGGGCTCCAGCCCAGACCACCTCTCCCCAACTTCCCTCTTCTATAGTGACTCTATCTTCCTTAAGGAGCAACAGGGTTGAGCAGTGAGTCACCCCCTTCCCCCATGATGCTGGAGTTGACCCGGATCTCCCCCTCATCCATGGAAAATGCCACCACAGTGAGGTTCAGGTGATAATCTAATTTCCTCCACACCACCTCTCAGCCATGAGCAGACAGTTCTGACACCAGAAATAGCTTTGATTCCTGGGTTGCTGGGTTGCTGGGTTCATGGGAGCTGGTCCTCGCTCTCCTTGTGATGCTGCCCTGCTTGGCAAAGGTCCTGCTGACCCTGACCAAGGGTGAGAGCTATCACCATACTGGAGCAGGCCAGGTCATTCTGAAGGAACCACAGGCAGCAGGGGAACAGCTGCTGTAACTTCACCCTACTGGTACTGATCAATAGGCACCCTCAGACCACCCCAGGAGGTGAGTGCCCAGTCCTCACAGAGAGAGGGGCATCAGGCCTGCGGGTGTGTATGGCATGGAAATCATGTGATACTTGACAGTCACCAGCTGGACATCTACCTGTGATGTTAATTATATATGGTCCTGGAGTGATGTTGTACATACCCAAGTGGCTCTTGGCAGAAAAGCAAAAGGTTTTCCACAGTAGCCTGTGAGTATCTGGACCCTGCTCCAAGTAGTCATCCTCAGCGGCCAATGATGGCCTTTCCTATGCTTAGTAGCAATGGGACCTCTTTTTCAATTTGATTTTCTTCAATTTAACAGTTATTATTATTGTTTTTCTTGTTATCATTTTATTATTATGGGGTGTGTGTGTGTGTGTGTGTGTGTGTGTGTGTGTGTGTGTGTTTGTGCAGGTCTTAGGGCTTGAACTCAAGGCCTGGGCACTATCCCTGAACTTTTTGGTTTAAGGCTAGCACTCTACCACTTGAGCTACACATGCTCCGCTTCCAGCTTTTGTTGGTGCTTAACTGGAAATCAGAGTCTTATAGAGTTCTGTCCAGGCTAGCTTTGACCCTCAATCCTCAGGTCTCAGCCTCCTGAGTAGCTGGAATTACAGGCACGAGCCTGTAATTAGTTGTGCAAAGGAGTTTCAATTCAACATGTGCAACGCATGTTTATCAGTGTCACAGCTTCCATCATGACCACCCTCTCTCTCCCAAACCACTCATTCCCTCAGTTTTCCTAGTTTTGTTTTCACATAGATACATTGAATATTAGCAAAAATAGATCTTTGTGAAAGTGTGTGTGTGTGTGTGTGTGTGTGTGTGTGTGTGTGTACTACCTAGGTAGCTAGGTAGTACTGAGGCTTGA